CGACGCCCCTCGCACCCCCGAGGAGCATGGGTCAACGGCCAAGTACCCTGTTGCGCCCCAAAATCTCTTTGACCTGGGTCCTTCGTGGGCAACAGCAACCTGCATCCAGCAACAGTCATTCAACCACCAATGGGAACGCAGGTCTATAAAAAAAAATATCTGAAATATTAGATTCTATAAATAATATTATGAGGAATTTAAATTAAATAAGTATATAAATTAATAAAAAGAAATAACATGATGTCCATTCAAAAGGTTATTCATGAAAATTCTTAAGAAATATATACAATACAATATATAAATTAGCTGTAATTTTGCTATTTCGAGAAAGCTTAAGAAACTAGTCAAGAAACAATGTTATCTTTGTAAAGGTGGGAACGGCGATCGAGAGAGCTTGTCACGAGATGGTAAAGAAAGATCCTCGAAGAGGAGTGTGAAAAGTGTGAAGGAAAAAGACAGCGGTAAGGAGAATGTCGAAACAGAAAAACGAGAGAAGAAGGTTCTGCATAGAATAGAGAAGATCGAAAGAACGGAGAAAGTAGAAATTCAGGAAAAGGTTTATATATAATTTATATATTTTATATCTATCTATTATAAATCTATCTTATTATAAATATTTTTAATTTTAATCTTTTATTTTTCAAAAAATAATGCAATACGTACTAATATTTACATTCTCTTTTCAGTCAATTAGCAAAGAAGTACTGGTCAATGAAAGATCGCTAGACAGTCCTCTGGAGAAACAATCTGAAAAAGAATTTTCAGGGCTAAAGGAGGCGAAGGAGAAAGAGAAAGTTAAGAGGGCAGTGTCCGAGCCGTCTCTCGTGTCACGTGAGTCAACGTCCACGCCTAGTGGTCGGGAGAAGCACAGACATCGAAGAACCAAACGATCCCACAAACCCAGACCGCCAAGTAGATTTGGTTATGAAATTGCAGACCTTGATGCATACCTTACCAAAGTATCTTTTCATTCATCAAGCTACAATTTATAATTCAATATGATAAAAACAATATTGCTTACAAAATATTTATTATTTTCAGGCCTCGATAGAAAAACCTGCAAACATTCCTGTTGTTCTTTCGTTTCCATCTGTCCTGTATCAAACCCAAGGTGGTACTCAAGACGAGATGGCTCTCCCTCTTGGTACAGTTGTCAATGCTGTATTCAAGAATCAAACTTGGTTATACGTTCAAACTCCACATGGTCAAGAAGGGTACGTCGGGTATGCAGCTTGCTTACCATTAGGAATATTACCACAACCAACAAGAGGACCATGTTGGGAAGACTCTACAGACGTATTTCCTCGTCCCTTAGGTACTAAATTCATTTCCAATAGCATCAGTTCCAAATTCATGTTTTATTAATGTGTTTGACTTTTCCAGGAAACATGACCGATACGGAAAAACTAAGGGATACTAGGTCAGAATGTGGTGCTCGAGGTAGAAATCCAAGAGTAAGACGTAGTTCTAGAGACGCAGTATCAGCCTGCGGGGAACGTAGTGTTGACAGATTGTATCTCAGAGCCGCAGCGAATGCTAGAACCAAAGGATCTCGACATACTTTACTCGTTATACGTAGCGATTATGAGGGTCAAGGTGGAAACGCTCTTAGCGTCTCTAAAGGCGATGTCGTTGCATTACTTAGCGATCATGTTAGTGATTGGTTCTGGGTTCGCTCGCGAGATGGTAGAGAGGGCTTTATACCTGCAGTGATTGCAGGTCATGGCTTTCTGTGACTGTTATATTACTATAATTTGTTTGAAATTAAATTGATCCTTTAAAACTATACAAAAATAAATTATCACCATATTGTTTAATATTCCATTATTTATGATTTCACTTTTTATTTCGTTTAAATATCTTGCAAGCTAAAAGAAGAAATTTAGTTTTAAATAACCAATTAATTTCAAACAAATGTTAATTGTATTTTATCACATCTCATAAATGTTCTATTAGGCGAATATATTACAAACAGAAAACGATTATATTACAAAAATCGTAACTAACAAACAAATACTTGTATATTTGTAAAAAGTTTTATATCATATTTTATAAAATGCATATTGTATTAATATATTTATTAAAAAATATATTTGTCTTTAATGAGATCACTTTGTTTTGTAAATCAATTAGATATCACCATTTTAATATTTTATTTTTATTATGCAAACTTTAATATTAATTCACGATAATTAAAATTCGTACAAATATCAAGGTTATTTGATGAACCAGCTATACTAAATACTTTTTGCGGTGTTTCTTGATAAATAATACTGTATACAGTGTTACTGGAAGTTGGCACTTTAGCCAACATTTCTCCTTGATAAGTAAGATGATAAACGTGAGGCGCTGATCCAGCAGCTATTACACGTTCTTCATAAATATTTGCTACATGGATACCTTCATCTGGAAGATCAAATACAGTGGCTGCTTCCATTGTGCGCATATGCCATAAAGATAAATTTGGACCACCTCCACATAACTAAACAATTGATATATATTATTTTTTTTATCCTTGTATTAAAATTAATTGTCTATTCTATAAAAAAAATAATAGAAAATAAATACCAGCCAATCATCTGTGAAATCTATGGCACCAATCCATTTGCCTAATCTTGGTCTTGCAACTTTGTCTACTAAATGAGGAGTTAATATATTAGTATTTTCTTTTTTTCTTAAATCCCATAATCTCACTGTTCCATCTTCGCTGCATGAAGCTAACTGATTACCCCTAGAAAAATAAAATATTTTATATAAAAATTATTATATATTATATATTATATATTAATAATTATATAATACATACATTAAAGATAGACAATGAATATAATCTGTATGTCCTTCTAAACTTCTTAATATTCTACCATCTTCTAAACTAATTACATAAATATTGTTATCGCCACAACCAGCATATAGAAGATTATTTAATTTAGAATATACTAAATAATTTACATCTGGTTTTTCATAACTATCCCTAAAAATAAATAATAATATCATTAAATATTATAATTATTAAATAATTTATTTTATATTTTATTATATAATCTCACTTATTAACAGGAAGTTGTATAGTCCATGAAACTTTATTCTTTGGATTTTTACTTGAAATAATTATTTTCCAATCCCATCCGCATATTTCTCCTGATGTTCCTGTTACTAAAAAATTGTCTGTTGAAATCATACTTTCTACTTGTTGATTGGAATGAGCAGTGAAGTGATAATTAGGGCCTTGTAATTCACTTTCTTCAACTTTATGTGGTCCTAAAGCTTTTGATAACCTAGAAACAAATTATTTTAACTTGCAAAAAAATTAATTGTATTTTAATTTTAATATTGTCTAATATTTTGTTTATATTTTAAAATATTAAGATAATTCATATTAATATAAAAAATGTTGTTTTTCTTCTTTTCAATATCAATAAAATTCATGATTAAACATTTATTATTAACTATTTAGATATTTACTCAAAAACTGAAATGTCTCCATAAATATTTCCAGCCAATAAATAATTTCCATCTGGAGAAAATGTTTGTGACAATATAGTATTATAAAATAACTTTTGATTAATCGTATCTGTCATCACTTCTTGATTAATTTTCATAATATTCGAAAATAATTGAGGTTAGGAATCAGCACTATAAAAGTAAATGAAACTAATATAGACAAGGAAACTAAATAATGTGAGAAAGATAGAAATGAACTAAAAATTGATTATCAACGCCATCTTTTAAGTACTTTAATTGAGAATTAGTGCCATCTTTTGAATGCTTTTAAAAAATGTCTTTAAAAAGATATTTTTGATATTCAAAAGATGGCGTTAACGATTAATTCTTATTTTATTTTATCTTTTTCTTACTATTTGATTTCCTTGTCTACATTAGTTTCATTTGCGGCACTATAAAGATAGCATTAATTTTTATATTTTTACTTTATCTTTATCTTTTTTTATTATTTCTTTTCCTTGTCTATATTTGCTTTCTGCAAATTTTAAAATATATAGAGATTATGATATTTGATTAACATTTTTTTTATATAATCTATTAGTCAAAATTCTTAAAATTCTTAAAATTAGTGCAATTCAATTTTTATGAATTATATACATATTTCTTATGTATAATATATGTAAAATATTTGTCAATTTTTGTTTATTTATATACATATATTATGTTATATATTTAAATTCTTATATATTGAAAGTTCATATATTTTTATATATTATATATAAATTGTTATATATTCATGAGAGAAAATCTTTTTATTAAGAAGGGAAGACAAATTGATATATAAGAATATTAAATATTTTATATTTAATTCACACAAAATATTTAATAACAATTAAAATCTCCAAAATTAATAGTTTTTCACTAAATGATTTACTAATTTTTTATAAAATATGTTACATATTACTAATGCATTAAGAAATAAAATGAAATGATTCTATTTAAATTATATTTAGTCTAAATATTCAAGAAAACAAAAGAAAAATAATAATTAAATGTGGAAATATTATTTTGTGATATAAATTGTTTTTCATCAAATTTATTAAAAACTTTATTATTTTATTTAAAAAATTTAGTTTTACTTATATATTTAATTTTAGATATAATACAAATTTAATATAATTCAAAAATTTAGTAAAAGTCTTCTTCAGTTATTTTTGTTGATGATGTTTGATTTTTTATTTGTTCTTGATTGTTGTACATATTTGCAACTTGTTGTGCAGATGTAGCATCATCGCTATTTTTATCATCACGAATACGAACAAATCGTGGAAATCGTAAAGATATACCTTTCTCTGGATCAACAATACCAATAGCTGCTTTATGAACAGGCGACAAAGATAGATCTGCACATTTAATTTCCCAGACTTGGATAGGTTCAAACCAATGATCCGGTTCAAGAGATGAATCGTAACGATAATATGATTTAGTTTGCGATATTATATATTCTTTAAAAAACTCAGTGTGCTTTTGAAGATCCTCTTCACTGAATCCAGTACCAATCTAAATGGATATATAAAATATTAAAATTATATTTATTTCTATATTAAAATATATTGGTTATTACAATTTAATAATGCTTACTTTACAAATGCTTTGATATTCTTCATTTTCTTGATCATAACAAGCCAAAAGAAATCCTCCATAAGTTCCAGTTCTTTTTCCTTTCCCTACATAACCACCGATGACCACTACGTCCAATGTATCGCCTATACCATCTAAATAATCTTTTTTCAATTTTAACCAATTGCGAGAACGTTTAGCAATTTCATATGTTGCTTCTTCTTCTAAGGTCTTTACCATGAGACCTTCACAATTACCTATTAAATATATATACATACATATATACATACAAGTATACATACATTTTTCTAAATAGATAAAAACTAATTTATAATTTATTTTTAAATAGAAATTAACCTTTTACTGATTCATCTAAGAAATCTTGTACTTGTTCCATAGTTGAAGTATCTAAACTAGTTGCAAATTTCCATTCTCCAATTATTTCTTTGAAATTTTCTTTTAATAATTCACGACGTTTTATGAATGGTTGTTGCACTAATGGTTCTCCATTCAAATATAATAGATCAAACATGAATACACATACTTGAACCTTAATATCTGATTCGTTCGCATCCTATAAAGTAAAAATATGTGTAAATACGTAAAATATGTGTAAAAATATGTGTAAATATGTGTAAAAAAATATTTATATAAAAGTAATTTTTTATATATATTGCATTACCTTGCGTTTTCTTGTACTAAGTATTTGAAAAGGTAAAATTTGTTTCTTATCATTATCCCATGCTACTGCTTCACAATCAAGGATACAACTTTTAACATTTTCACCTTGAGTATTTTTAAATCGTCCTATAATATCGGGATACTTGCTAGTATTATTTTCCTGATTCCTACTATAAATGCTAATTTTACCATTCTCAGCAAAATGAATCTGAATGAATAATTTACAGCAATTAAATATATATATATATATATATTATTTTTTTATATTTTAAATAATTATTTAAAAAATTACTTGAGCTCTTTCTCCATCGTATTTCCACTCGCATGTAAATTTCAGACCGTCGAAACGTGTTAATACTTCTTGCACACCTTTAGTAGGATGAGCCAGCATTGGTTTCATAGGTATTCCAGGTGTAATTTTACATTTATTTGGTAATTCTTTAATTCCTTCTTTTAATAAAACAGGAATTATTTTATCATAATTTGGACATTCACTAGAAATAGATATTATATGATATAAATTGAAAATTGATTTGAATATCTAATACAAAAATATTCTTACCAATATGTTGTTTTAAGGATAAGTGCAGTTTCGTCATATTTTTGTTTAAAGGTATCATTTGACATTTTCTTACTCACATCTAAAATTTCAGGCGGAAAAATTGGCTTTGGTGGTGTCATAGTACATGCTAATGCTAAAGCCTGTAAATATTTGTCATTAATCATACAATATTACAATAATATAAAATGATATATAAATATATATTTTTACTTGTAATACAGATTGTTCTGCTAAACCAATTCGAAGTTTACCAGCTAAGGATCGAATCAAATATCTCGCTTCAGTAAAACGACATGCTACAAAAAGTGATTGGATTTTATCCAATTTTTTAGTTAAAGACTGAAAAAGAAATTATAATAATTGAAAATAATAAAAAAGTACAAAATTAAAAGTACAAAATTTTATCTTAAAATTACAATTACAATAAAGATCTAAATTGAATATCTTAGCTCTTATGAAATTTTTATTTATTTCTGCACAAATAAAAGACTCTAATAATTTTCAATTCTATGTTTCCATATTTATTATTGATTTATCATTAGATTATATTAACAAATATCATACCGCAGAACCAGTCATTTGAGCAATTTCTTTCAACCTAGTATATACACTTGATACTGTTAATGGAGCAGGTTGAAACATTGTTCTTTGATTGGAACGACTTCCTTCTGCCACAATGCCCAAATCTCCAACTTCTTGAACATCTGTTTTAATTTGTGCTAAAGTTCTGCCAGTACATTGTGCTATAGCTTTCATCAGATTTGTTTCTGCTACTCCCAATTCAATTCCTAAAATAAAAATAAATATTTTTTCAATAAGATGAGAAAATATATTTAAGTATATATTTACCTTCATAAGCAGGTGCTAATTGATTCAAACACAAATATATACTTGGAAGCAAATCATCTGAACTTAAAACTATAACAGATCGAAAATAATTCGATAATATTTCTATTATTTTTAATCGTGCACTAGTATCTTCAATTAGTTCCAATGTGCGTGTGAGTGCAATGTACGGTACTCTATGAAAAATTGAACAAATTTTTTATCAACAGAAAATATACGATATAAAAATGAAAAAACATAAGACATACTTTTCATTATGTTTCCAACATGCATCATCTATTGGATTATAATTTGATACACTAGGATCATAAGAATAACTGGAGGATTTTTTTTTATCATCTTTAGCATTTTTTGTTCCTTCTTTTTGTTTTGCAGCTAAAATATATTAATTATATTAAAATAGTTATATACTTATTTATTTATTAATATAATAATAAATTAAATACCAAAAAAATTATGAATCATTTTAGCAGACTTTTCTGTGATTTCCACATTTTCTTCTTTTTCTTTTTTATTATTCTTTGTATTATTTATAACATTTTTGTTAGATTTTTCTTCTTCATTAACAGGATTTTTTTCTTTTTCATTAAGATTAA